ATTGCCCCATAGGGTTTTCTTGGCTATAATCCTTACAGGAGCATGTTATTAGGTCTTTCTCCTGGGGAGTGGGTGGTGGTAGGTTTGATCCACCAACCTTCTGATTCACAACCAAGCTCTAAACCACTATGCCACCAGGGCTCCTTATGAAGGGGCTAGGGCTTAGTAATATAAAAAACAGTTACCTAAGATCAACGTTGAGATTCCAACTCAGGTCTGCCTCCAAAGCCCATGTTTTCAACCCATTTCATAAGGGTAATTAATTTCTTAAAGATAAAAAAATAAAAAATAAGAAAACACTGCTATATTATGGTATTTTTGGGGGTGGGGTAGAGTACAGGATCAGATAAAACAATCTCCCAGATTTCTACCGCAAGGAAGCGAATACATACATTTGTGATGATGATTGCCCCTAGTCATGAGGCAGCCTCTATCCAACTGTGTAACATTAGATTATTCATCTAGTCGCCACATGCTGCTGCTGCTTTTTCTTCTTCTTCTTTTTTTCCTGGGGCTGGGAGTTAGGTGAAAATGAATTAAGAAAATTCATAATAACTTTGAACCAAACATCTCAGTGTATTTCGGGTCTGTGATCTAATACCGTAAAAGTCATTGGTGCCCCCTAAACAGAAGCTGATGGAAATTCTTACTCCCTAAATAGTGCCTTCTAATGAGACCCTTCTCTGATTTCTAGGTCTATCAACTTTTCCTCCATTTTTCTGTCTTCTTCAAATCCTTGAATATTTGTGTATCTTAAAGTGCATCTTGACTGTACATTTGAATATCAGTTCTTCTCATTTGCAGCAGAACGAGAGGGATACCTGTGATCCCTCTCTGGGATTACTTTACCCACTAAGGGACTTTGAACTCTACCCCAAGTCTACACTGCATCCCAGGTCTCCATTCACATCTCTCACTGGCTCTCAAGCAGCACCCTCCCCTACATTCTGAAATCCTCCAGTGTGGGCCAGGAAAAAAAAAAAAAAAAAGACTAAACCCACTTCTGTGTAGTTAATTCTGGCTCATAATTGACCCTATAGGACAGAGTAGAACTGCCCCATAGCGCTTCCAAGGCTGTAAATCTTTACAGATGGGAACCATCTCATCTTTCTCCCACAGAATGGCTGGTGGGTTTGAACCACTGACCTTTTGTTTAGCAGCCTACTGTGTTAGCCCCTATACCACCAGAACTCCTAAGGGAGAAAAAAAAAATTAAACTCCCTGCCATCAAGTCAATTCCAACTCATAACAACCCCCTTTGGGTTTCCAAGGCAGTAAATCTTTACGGAAGTAGATTGCCTAGTCTTCCTTCCACCAAGTGGCTGGTGGGTTTGAACCGCCAACCTTCCGGTTAGTAGTCAAATGCTTTAGGCACTACACCACCAGAGCTCCTTACCAGAACTCCTGTTGTTGTTGTTATGTGCTGTCAAGTTGGGCCCGACTCATAGCGATCCCTCCTTGGGTTTCCAAGGCAGTATCACTATGGAAGTAGATTGCCCAACCTCCTAGTGTTGGCTAAAACACATCCTTTTTCTTATTGTAGGTAGTATCTTGTACCACCCCTGGGTTGACTGTGTCTGCAGGAAGCTGACCAGGACAGGGGAGGAATCTGATCTTAAACATTCAGTGGAGGCATCTTCAGGCCTCTTAGACATCCAGGTGGGCTGGGGTTGGAGGGTCTTCCCAGTTTGGGGACAGAGGAGGCACAGATGGTAACCAGGTGTTTCTTGCTCAGCTGGGCTGTAGCTTGACACTCATAATGAATTTTCCAGCTGGAGTGGGTCATAACCCTAGTCTTCTACACACCACGAGCACAGCTCAGGATCTTGAGAGCAGTTGAGTAAGGGTGAGTTAAGCACTGATGTTTCTTTTGAATATGTCCCTGAAATCCTCCCTTTCTAGAGAGTCACAACTTTTTTTGTTCCAGGAAGAATATCGTAGAGCAGTGTACTTGGTGAAAACAAGAAGCTTCCTGAGCCATTGTGCTCCATGAATTCAACAACAAACCGTTAATTCAAATGCTTGACATTAGGAATTTTGAAATGACATTTTAAAAAATTTATTCAGATGAACTTAGGTTTGAAAACTCACTCTCCCATTTGTGCATTGTGTACCCTTGAACAAGTGACTTAAAGCAGCGATAATTGAGGTGTAGTCCACAGGTCAGCACGTTAGCACCCCCTGAGAACTTGTTGAGAAGAAAAATGTCAGTCCCCACCCCACACCTACTGAATCAGAACATCTAGGGATGGAGCCCAGCAATCTGTATTTGAAGAAGCCCTCCAGCCAGATGGGTCTTATGGCCACTGCAGTTTGAGAACCAGTGGCTTAACGTAAAGGAGCCCTGGTGGCACAGTGGTTAAGTGCTTGGCTGCTAATTGAAAGGTCAGTGGTTTGAATCTCTCCATGGAAGAAAGATGTGGCAGTCGGCTTCCATAAAGACGATAGCCTTGGCAACCCTACGGGACAGTTCTACTTTGAATTTGAATTCTACTTTGAGTTGGAATCAACTCAATGGCAATGTATGTAAAGTGGGAATAATACCTCCCCTCATAAGGTTGTGGTAAGGATTAAATTCGGTCTGTTTTTGCATGTAAAGCATTTAGCACAGTGTCTGGCACTTAGTAGTGTTCAATACTTGCCGACTACAATTAATGCTATTATTACTATTGGATTTCTTTTCTGGGTCGCCAGTGAATCTGTCTATGACTTGGCATGCCTACCTGTGAAATAGTAATGAGGGAAGATACCTTAACATTAATCATTATAGCAAAAGCTAAGTTATTGACTCCCACCTTGTGCCAGGTGCTTGGCTAATCGTTTTGCAAACATTTCATTGGACCCTCATTAAAAAAAAAAAAGAAAAAAAGCTAAGGAAATGGTGCTGTTATTGCCCACGTTTTCCGGGTGAGACAACTGGCCTGGGGAGCTTAACTAGCTTGCTCGGGATAATGCAGGTGGAACAGAGGCCAGCCACGTGGAAGACATCAGGAAGTGTGTCTCCAGACTCCGGGTTAGTGTGCGCATCACCATGCCGACAAACCAAAGTGGTTTGCAAAAGGAACTCTGCGTCGAGATTTTTATAAGTAACAACACAAACCAGTAGCCATCAGGCTGATTTCAACTCAGATGACTCCCTGTGTTTTAGGATAGAACTATGCTCCAAAGGGTTTTCACTGGCTCATTTTTCAGGTGAGAATCACCAAGCTTTTCTTCCCAGGCCTCAGGGTAGATTTGAACCTCTGACTTTTCAGTTAGTAAGTGAGTGTTTAACCATTTGTGCCTTCCACAGTATTAGATGTTTTGAAATATCTATGAAATACAAATTTCAGATGTCTATGAAATCAGATATCTAGTAAAACATATGTATCAACATCGTGGATGTTGGTTAATTTCAGAAGGCTCTCAATCTTTTTTTTTTTTTTAAAGGGACCCCATTACTATGGAAGCCTTCAATGACCCTTACTCTCTACTGATTCACTTTTACTTACAGCTGTAATGGGGATACTTTGTCAGTAAACCGACTCACTGCCGTCAAGTCAAACCCAACTCATAGCAACCCCTCCTTGGGTTTCCAATGGAAAGTAGATTGCCCAACCTTCCTTCCGGGGAGTGGCTGGTGGGTTTGAACCACCAGCCTTCTGGTTAGCAGTCAAATGCCTTAGGCACAATGCTGCCAGAGCTCCTACCTTGTCAATAGCAGGATTAAAGAGAGCGCAGCTGTTACTTCCAGGCCGCCCTTTAGGCACAGACTACCTGGGCCCAGAGCACATTCTGCAGGCGTCCATTAGATAAAAGAGTTAAGTGCTCGGGAAGAAATAAAAGCTGCCTTTACCTACAGAAGGTAAATCTTCAGGTGAAGATTATAAGGAGGAAATGTGGCCTGTAATTACCGTAAGTATGTGTTATCAGTCTAACTTATTTATATGGGTTTTGGGCCCATGATGAATGCCAAGTTGATACCATTTTGTAATACTGCAAAAATGTCTGGCACATTAAATACCAATGATGTGCTTTAAAACAATAGCAAAATGGGTAAAATTATATGCCTATCACAGGGATTTCAGGAAGGCTGCTGAATTTGTAAAGTAAATATATTTAAACACCCATTGAAATGATTGCCAGAGCAAAATACAAGTTTATTCAGTGCAGAGAGATCATAGGCTCTGTGTGGAAGTTTAGGGGTACAGACAGGTCAGGCATGCTTTAGGCTTTCTTATTGGAGACAATAACTTTGGCTTTCCTCTGAGAGTTTCTGCCTAAAATCCGAGAAGCTGGAGTCAGAGATGGTACGAGATGTTCCGTTTAACATAAAACTTCCCAGTGTCCGTGAAGTAACAGTATCCCCAATAGCGCCATGAAGCCGACATTCGCTTGGGCTTCTGCCTTTGATTTTATTTTATTTTTTTTCCCCTTTTCTTAGCTCCACCCCAACTCGCTCTTAACAGGCCTTCTGTTCTGTCAGCCATAATGACATCTGCTGGCGGAGACAGGAAGTCATAAATCTGTAGGTTCCCTCTCAACCAAACCTTGTTAATGCTGCCATTTATCACGGGGGCTGGGGTGCCATCTCTGGAGGGCCGGACGCCGAGAGTCCATTTTCTCCCATACCCCTTCCCCAGGAGAGCAACCATTTTACAAACAGCCACTTTTTCATCTCGCGTCTGCGGGCCTGCGCGTCAGGCAGATGCAAACCCAGCCCCAACGTGCAGCTCTTGGAAAGGAGCCACGATTCCAGGCAACAATAGACTCGACTGGATGTTTCTGGACTGAAAGCAGGCAGTCCTGTCTCAGGAGAGGAGTGGGAGAGTCTTTCTTCTGAGCTTCTCTGCCCCAGAGCCCTCTGACGGATAGAACTTACGACAGGGCGAGATGAAGGGGAACATTTAAACTTAAGAGTTCCTTGTGTTCTGAACTAATTCAGGATGAGGGTCAGGTTCTCTTTCTAAGAGTTCATGGTGCCCTAGGCCTTATTCAAGATCTTTGCCTGTGACGTGGAGGCAGTGGTGGTTTAGGGGTAGAATTCTCACCTTCCAAGCGAGAGGCCTGGGTTCGATTCCCAGCCGAGGCCCCTTATGTGCGGGCTTCTGTGTTGCTATCGTGCTGAACAGGTTTCAGTGGAGCTTCCTGACTGCGACAAACGAGGAAGAAAGGCCTGGTGATCACTTCTGAAAACCAGCCTGAGCAACCCCTTCAGGTCCCAGCACTCTGATCTGCGAACCCTCAGCAATTGTGGAGGACAGGGCAGTGTTCCATTTGTCATGCGCGGGACTGCCATGGGTCAGAGATGGCTAACAACAACCTAAGACAGGACATTCTAGCCCTTGCTCCTCAAGGTGTGCTCCCTGGACTTGCAGTGTCAGCACTGCCAGGAGGCCTGTTAGACAAGCTCTCAGGCCCCACCCCAAATCAGTCCAACCAAACCCACTGCTCTCACAATGATCCCAATTCAGAGTGAACCCTGTAAGGACAGAGTGGAACTGCCCGATCAGGTCTCCAAGGCTGTAAATGTTGATGGGAACAGACTCCCTTACCTTTCTCCCACCTGGCATCTGGTGGGTTCAAACCACCCCTATTTTGGTTCACAGCCGAGCACTTTAGCCACTGTACCAACAGGGCTCTGTGACACCCCAGACCTGAATTAGAATCTTCATTTTTAACCAGATCCCAGATGACTCCAACACACATTGAAGCCTGTGAGGTTTTCAGCTGTTGGCACTTGGGGCCAGAAATTGTCTGTTGTGGGGGTTGTCCTATACGTTACAGGATGTCTGACAGCATCCCTGGCCTTTGCTCGCTAGGTGCCAATAGCAAACTTGTCTCCAGACATTGCCGATTGTCCCCAGGGCAGTAAACTTGCCCCCACTGAGAACAAATTGAGGAGCTCTGGGGGGTGCAGTGGTTTAAGTGTCATGTTGCTAATCCAAAGGTCAGCCGTTCAAAACCACCAGTGGCTCTTCAGGAATACGATGTGACAGTCTACCTTCATAACAATAACCGCCTTGGAAATGCTGTGGGGCGGTGCTGCTCGGTCTCACGGAGTTGCTGTGAGTAGGAATTGACTGGACAGCAGTGGGTTTGTTTTGGATTTGGGGGAGATCTATCAACATAGGAACTCAAAGTGTGGGCTGTGCAGCCACAACATCAGCGTCACCAAAGAGCTGACCCCACTTTACACCTGAATCAGGATCTCCAGATGGGGGTCCACGAGTCGATGTATGTTTTCCAAGAGATTTTTTTTTTTTTAATTTAAAAAAAACAACAACAAAAACCAGTTGCCACGGAGTCAATTCCATGTTGTGGCGGCCCTGTGTGTATCAGAGTGGAACGTGCTGCGTGTTTTCTGTGGCTGAGTTTTTGGAAGTAGATTGCCAGACCTTTCTTCCAAGGCACCTCTGGATGATTGGAACCTCGGACCTTTTTTAAACATTTGCCCCAGGCAGGGACCCTGTAACATGCAGGCAGAGTTTGAGAGCCTCTGCTCTAGGGCATCTGAGGCAGTACGCAGAGTGTGAACAGGGAAAAGTAACATGCTAACTGGAGACTCTGATGTAAATGTCACTGCTGCTGCAGCCTTACCCAGAGGCAGGAACTCATGGAGGTCGGGAGTGGATGAGCCAGCAGGCTCACGGAAGTGTACACATAGCAACGGTTGAATCAGTGTACGTCCTGCTGTGTACATTCTCAACAACAACATATAAATCATATAAAAATAAAAAAGAGTGTACAAGCTGGAAACTTTCCAGGTGAGCTTGAATCCAAGCTGACCCATTTACTGTATCAAAAAAAACAATTCACTGCTGACGAGTCAGTTCAGATTCATAGCTACCCCTCCTTGGGTTTCTGGGGCAATGTCTCTACGGAAGTTGATTGCCCAACCCTTCTTTCAAAGGGTGGCTGGTGGGTTTGAACCACCAGCCTTCTGGTTAGCAGTCAGATGCCTTAGGCACTACGCCACCAGAGATCCCCTCATAAATGTTAGCTGCGGTTATTGTCGTTATGATCATTGCCTTGTCTTTCCCTAGAGGTTTAGATGCCCAGAGAACCAAGTGAGCACTTTATTCCTCGCTGTATCCCAGCACCAGCCTAGCCCCTGGCGCGGAGCAGGGGCATAGCAACGTGCATGGAGAATGGGGATAGGCCTGTGCAGAGAGGAGAGACACGAGGAAGGAGCTCTCTGCCACCAGTGGCTAGAATTGGCCGTTTGTTGCCTTCTGTACTTCATGCACAAGGATCAGAACTTCCCTGGGTGGATTCTGTAAATTGAGGCCCTGACAGGTTTTGAGGATGTGGATACAGATTAGATTGGACCTTGGATATGTCTGAAAGCACTATGTAAATAACAGCCAATCGGTACACCCTGGTGGCGTCATACCTAAGGCATCTGACTGCTAACCAGAAGGCTGGCAGTTCAAACCCACCAGCCACTCCTCGGAAGGCAGACTGGGCTATCTACTTCATACAGATACCGCCTTGGAAATCCAAGGAGGGGTTACTGTGAGTCGAATCAACTCAACAGCAGTGAGTTTGGTTTTTCTGGTTTCATCAACAAATAGTTATACAATAATGAAAAAGCTGAAAAGCCAGGTGTGCTTTGTACATGGTAGGTGTTTGCTGAGTATTTCATATTTTCTTATATAATCTTCTCAATACCCAGTGCCATGGAGTCGATTCCAACTCATAGTGACCCAATGCAATTAGTTATATAATTACCCCCATTTCCCAGATGGGGAAGCTGAGGCTCAGTAACTTTCCCAATGTCCTAGTCCCCATACATAGTGGAACTATTTTTAAGACACAGGTAGGTCTCTCTGATTCCACGTCAAGCACCTTTCTTCACTGGCACCCACCTGGTCTGAGTGCAATGCTCTTATGCCCACGGTTTTCTGGGACACTCCAAAGTTCAATCATTCTCTCCCACCTTATCCTTGAGGACACAGGCATAGGGTCAGACCACGTGTCTTTGAATGGGTTTCAAAGCTTGAGCTGTGGCAGTGATGAAGACTATGCACCACGCCCACACTGGAGACACAGCAGTGGGGAGGAGAGAGGCCACTGCCCCCACGTGAACACACCTCAGGGAGAGAGGAGCCGGACAACATCAGGGGATAAAAGTGTCTTGTAAGCAAGAGATAAATAGATTGTTACAGACAACAGAGCTAGAAAAGAAAAGAGAAATAAAAGAGGCAGGAAGTGATGTTCTTCAATTCAATAAATGCTGACAGTCCACTGTGTGCCTGACACCATGCTACAAGTAAGGACACTGCAGTCAGCATGACAGGCCCTTGCCCTCATGAAGCTCGTAGTCAGGGGGATCCGATCAGCAGAAGCTGCCGGAGCCCTGCTCGACTCTTAACACACCAACTTGACTGACACCCGCCACACTGGGGGGACTCTTGGCCAGTGTCGAGCAACAGCTGGCAGATAAATACCCCAGCTCCCTCTCCCTTCAAGAGACAGATCTCTAAAGAGTGTGTCTACACTGGCTCCCAGAGGTCCCCAGCAAAATCAAGCCACAGTGATCATGTACTTGAAAACACCCTGTATTGGTTTCCTCCCTGCCTTTACTCCCTTTCCCATTCCCCTACTGGAATTTTCTAGGGTAACTTCCCAATCAGCGACTTGCACTCAGACCCTTATCTCAGGATCTGCTTCTTTGGGAACCTAAACCAAGACACAAGCCTTCTACAAAGGAGACTTTGCAACAGTCCCTGACCGTTTGATCATTTCAAGTCTGGAGGTACTTAAGCCTTGTTGGAGCTGCCCAGCAACTTGGAGCAAAGACAAGCTGTATTGTTGGGCTCAAACAGCACTTGGGACAAGTCACTTTGACATAATCCTAGCACGCAGGGATAGAATCTCATGAAATTTTAAGGACAATAGGATGCTTAATGCCTCATCATAATAGACAAGACATGCTCTGGATAAGACAGAAAGGTGTTCTCAGAGCAAATGATATCATTCTCTATTTGCTTCTGGAAGCTGAGGGGCACCGTTGGGCACACGGTTCTAATGAGTCCAGGAAGTAGAGCTGGATGCACAGCTGAGGTGGCATAAAATAGACCAGAGCCCAGAACTTAAAGGCTGCTTGTCACATGGTCTCCAGGTTGCTGCAGTCCTTACGTTCACTTAATGTCTTCCTGGGGCTAATGAAATTGAGCAATGGATTACGGGGCTAGCGGCTTGGTCTGGACTCTTCAGCAGCTACCAAACACTGTCATCGACTGTACGCTTACAACTCCATGGTAGCAGCATGGTCTATGTTAAACCTAACAGGTCCCACATCCCCACCCTGCCCTCTCAGCAATCACCCTGTTTAAAATATACATAATGGTGACTTGCTGTTGCACGATTCTATACCTGGCCAAGTCAAAACACTTTGAGAAAAGAGAACCCAACAGCTTTTGGAGGATTTATTCTTTGAAGCAAGCTTGCCCATGCCCAGGAGTCCCCAGACTTTATCGTCATCAACCTTCACTGTTTTCAGAGATCAAATTTCCACAAAAGATATTCTCTCCTGTGTTGGGTTGGGTTGAGCAAACCCACTGCAATGGACTAGGTATCTTTTGGGATGTCAATGACTGTACTGGTGAAAGAACGAAGGCGTCCCTGGGTGGTTCCAACATTTAACGTCCTCAGCTGCTAACTGGAAGGATGGAAGTTCAAATTCACTCAGAGGCTCCTCAGAAGAAAGGATTGGTGATTTACTTCCAGAAAACCAGCCATTGAAACCCCCGTGGAGCACAGTTCTACACTGACACAGCTAGGTCACCATCAGTTGGAATCAGCTCAGTGGTGACCTGGTGGTGACTTAAAGGCATAAACTCCGAACTGGCTATTATGATGAGGAGGCCTTCCATGACCTAGCTCCTGCCTTCCTTATCTTCCTCACCTCTGCTCCCTTCTCCCCAGCCACCACTCTAAATGTTAGCTCTGATGGCTGCAGCCTGTCCATTCCTGAAGCACAGAAATTGCATCTGGCCTCAGATCTTGGTTTTTAATTGCCTCTTGTCCTTCAGATCTCAGTTGACATGTCACCTCCTCAGAGAGACCTGCCATGACCCCAACCAT